TTTATCACTTCAGCCACATGAAAAGTTTATTGTGAGAAAGAGGTATTGGAATATGTGGGTGCCACCTGGGCCTTTGGGACTTTCCCATTCCTCCCCTCCATCCCTGCACCGCTGATAAAAATCCTTTTGAGCAAGAAAAGGTCACAAGGCTGCTCCCTAAAAGTACCAGCAATGAAACACCAGCACTGCAAGCTGCACAAGAGAATAACTGGGTGGCATGCAGGGGTTTGTGGGAAATTTTAGGAACACTGAGGGAATCAAAGGGGAAAACATAAAGGGGTGTCTGGTAGTTTCCTGAGGCAGGAATCTGCATGCTGGCAGGCACAGGAAAGCCTGGCATGGCCACTGTCACATTTCACAAATCCCTTGATACATCTGCAGGCCTTCCTTCAGGGATTGACATGAGATGTGGGCTAAAACATGGAACTTCTAAGAATTTTAGTTAGGTTTGTATTGCTGCTTAATTGTTCCTGTCTTTAATAAAAGCACCTTAATAAAAACTGCTGTCTGTAAGGTTCCCTGGATAGGTGAATAATGCATTTCTCCCAGGGGCAGAGGGTGGGAAAAATCATCTAAAACTGTAATCCTGAAAGAGAATAAAAAGGGTGTTCCTGTGTTATTACCTCCATGAACATCAGCTCTGGGACTGGACCAAACCTGGGACCCAGATACTTGCAATGTGCTGCAAGAAGGAACCCCTCACTCTGCAAGAAGTTTCAACCACTCATTACAAACTCAGCTCCAACCCCAAACCTGGTGGGACCTTCATGTTTTAGCAACAATCTTGTGGAAATCACTGCAGCAATGAGATGGAGTAAAGCAGGAGGTCTGCAAAGATCTCTAAGGAGCTGAGATAAAAGTCAAGATGGAGCTCAATTAATTATTGCCTCTGAAAACGCCAAAGCCAAAATGCAAGTGTCAAAAGAAGTGACAGCAGGAGCTATCATTGCTCTCTGGAGTGGCCATAACAAGCACCTGAGTGAATTTATGAGACTGTGGGGTTATTGGAAGACTGTGGAAAGCAGCATCTGGCCCTCAGCCCAGACTGCAAGGGGCTTAAAAAGGCAGCTGTGATTAGCTTCCAGCAAGAGCAGCAGGCTCAGGATGAGGAATGTATTATCCCCAGTGAGATGTGCCTTGGGTCTGGCCTCCTTTCACCACATGCCTTGGGGCTTTCTGAAAACTGTAAAGGTTTGCCTGTGAGGGAGAAGGCAGGTGGCATATCCCAGTATATCAAAAAGTTCCCACACATCTCTTTGTTCTATTTTGCATCATCAGACACATTTGCTGGAAGGAGGAAAAAGAGCTGTCAGGATTTTCCTCATTTCACCCATTGGGAAAGCCCGGACAAGGCTAGCTGCAACAAGGAGCACTGCAGAGAGAAGAGGGCAAGCAGGAGGACAACATGTCAGTGGTCACCTTTGGGTCACCTGCTCTGTGGCCAGCTGAGGAACACCCTGCAGAAGAGACCTTTTGCTGGGAGCAGCATTACATGAGGCAAAGACACTCATCCATCATAGGGCTCTCTCACATTCTGGCTGAGCACCCCAGAGCCACAAACATGAATTATTCATTGTAATTGCACAGAGCCGAAGCCTCCTTTGAAATGACCACCCCAGAAATATATCAAGGTCAGGGCACAGGGCCATAAGCAAATACAGGGATTCAAAAAGTCTTTCAGAGTATGAGATCCAGCTGTAAACAGGAGATTTCATCCAGACCTACTCGGTCCCACTGGTTTTTGACAGAGTTGCTTTTTAAGGTGTCCCTGCATGCAGCTGTTCCAAGATCCACAGACAGGACCCTACCTATTAACTCCTGGAATGAGACCTTCATCTCAGCTGCCTTCTGCTCTGAGGATCTCAAGATTTCCGTTGCTTTCTCTCTGACTGCACAAAACATTCATGATGTATTTTAACTCATAGTTTTTGCCAATGAGGCCCCTGACTCCTCACTGCAGTGTGAGCCTCATCGGAAGACCCTTCTCTCTCTATCCAAGCTCTCCATAACTTGACACCATCACAGAACCCCCCTTTGGATGTCCCCAGGCTCCCAAAGAACCTCCTTTTCAAAAAACTTAGAGAATAATGCCCTGAGTTATGCTCACTTTCTGTGCCATGAAGCTAGCACGTGCCACAGATTTCATCTTAGGAGCCACCACGGGGCAGCTCAGCTGAGCACACTTGGAAATGGAAATTGTTTACACTGTGACGGGATGTGAGTAGACACGGTGCCAATTGGGAAAGCCACCTCTGGATGTAACAAGGCAGAGAGAGAAGCAAAACACTAAAGAGAGATGCACCCTGGACACAGACACCTGCATTGAGAAGATCTGGGGAACAAATTCCTAAGCCAGAAATGTCGTCCCCTTCCCAGGCTGGGGCACGCAGGCTCGGGGAGCCGGCGCTCGGCTGGGCAAACACAGATGCAGGAGCTGAATGGGAGCACAGTCAGCCTGAACTATTTTTAACTGGTGCAGAGGAAGCTTTTACTTTTCATTACGAAGGGGAGACAAAGTGTCCATCAGTTGTGCTGAATTTGTTCCCTGGACGGGTGGGTGTTGAAGCATGCAAAGCCCCCGGCCCGTCTATAGGACCAGCAGCTGACCCCCTGGTCTGGTCACAGCTGCAGGGTCAAAGAGAGCAACAGCTGAAATGCACTTTTGATACATGTGCTCAGGGTTGCCCCAACTTACCCTGGGGGGTTCTGCCTTGTGATTTCCATTAAATCTGACTGGTAAGAGTCACTGCTGGCATAAAGGAGCACCAACCCATCAAGGTCCCCTACAATGAGCTCAGCACGACTAAATAAACAGTGCAGAGGCATCACAGTCAGGCACTGGCAGTTGGATCTGGTGGTCCCTCAATGCCACTTTGCTCCCCTGGAGAAAAATCCATGGATTTGGCAGCAGCAGCACTTTTACTTGCCAAATCTGTTGGTTGGGGCACTGGGGAGCCTAGGGGCTGGCACAGAGGAGGCAGGGCTGGGACCAGGGCTCTCTATCTCCCCCTTCTTGCCTAGCCAGGGTTACAGCTCTGTAATCTAATTGTAAGATGATTCATTTTCTCTTAAACATCAATTCCTGCTGCTGTCCCCAAATATATATTTGAACAGCACCATTGCCCACTCCCTCCCCAAAATATCAGCAGTGAGAAAACACTCACGGGGCATCCCAAGGAGAGGGGCTGTGTCACCAGCCAGATGGCCACACAGCAGCTCAAACTTTGTATGCTGGCATTCAGCCAGCTGGTGAAAGGAAAGGGCTCCGACAGCTACTGAACTCCCTCCATCCATCTCCCAAACAAGCCACTTGTGCATCTGCTGCCATACATAAACATTGTGCCCTGGGTGAAGCCACGGAAGACACAAGCGATGACACCTGTCCTGTCCATCCTGACCTGAAGAGATGCTTATAATGTTCTCAGCTACCAGGGGAAACCACACGCCTCACAAAACAAGGTTTGGCACTAAACCAGCTCCCCAAGTTCCACTTCTTCAAAAGTGCATGCACATCCAGAACATCCACGCACATAACAACAGGTTTGCTGCTCTCTGCCAAATAAGTATTTATTAAAATCCTGCATTTATTACACACACTACAGTCCTATAAAAGGGGCTTAGAAGCCACTAACCGTGGGCATCGTTGGACTTTCTGTACTTTCTTAAGGGAGAATTGCCTAGTGGGTGAACTACTTGCTGTGGCCTCCCTTGAAAGGAGAAAGAGACATTTCTTTCAGCTTGTTCAGAAGTATGTGCTGACATTGCTCAGACGAACCATGCCCTCATGGTTCAGATGAAACGTGCCCTCAAGAGTCTCTTTTCCCCCAGCAGCTACAAAGACAGCTTAGGGCGATTAGTTCAGTAGATGTTTATGCTGTTATGTGGAGTCAGGCAAGAATAATCCCTTACAGTCTGTTGTGGTCCAGGCACTGCTCTCGCTACATGAGATGAACACAGAAGTACAAAAGCAAAGCTCTGCTCTTGAACATTTTAGCTGAAGTTAAAGAATGGGGTCTAGAGATAGCAAACCCAGGAATGATCTGGATGGAATAGGACAGGATTGCAAGCAATACTGGTTTTCAATCTACTGTTCATGAACAAGTTGATACCAAGCTTTGCACAGGTCCATGGGAAGCTAAAGAGCTAACACAGAGGCCAGCTTTGAAAAGAGAGTTTAATATCTTCCCACCAGTGTGTTACTTTGCCAGTGATACCACCACCTAAGGAAAAGGAAAATCAGGGACCTACATTTGTATACATATGTTCACAAAAGACATGGGAATGCCTGTGGCCCGCTTAGAAAACAAGCATTGGAGAGCAAATAAATCCCTTACCCGGTTATCCTCTTGAATCTCCCAGTCACTGGAGAAGCTCAGCACATGCTGTGCCTGTGAGCAGTTTGAAAACTGGAAAAGGCTGGCAAACATCCTTCTGTTCTCCTGGGTATCGGGGAAAATCGCCTCCTGGAAGTTGACTCCATGAGGCAGGAGGATGTAGTTCTCATCCATTCTGAAACACAAATTGCACTGTGAGAATGAACAGCACTTTCCTGTAGAAGTCACCCATCATACTTCAGCCTGGCTCAACAAGTGCCACCGAAGTCATACAGACTTAGCTGACAAGTCACTCTCAGGTGTCCTGGCACTTAAGTCTCCAAGATGGCAATTTCCACCATGGGAACTGGATCAGGCAGCAGCAGTAATGAACTAATAGGCTCCTACAACCCTGCAGACACCAGTGAAACCCCATAAAGGAGGCAAATCTGTATTTTGAGCCATAGCTCCTACTGAATTTGCATCACTTTGCCCTCGATCCCAGAGTTTAAGTACTCCTTCAAACAGTCAATAAATAACTTCTGTAAAATGTGTTTAAAGATATTACTACAGACCAAGCCCTAGACAGCATCAAAATGAGTTTCATTACGCACCCAGTGTAAAAATATACCAAGTATTTCAAACAAGCCACTGAGTAGTATTTCGCAAACGCTCTTGGATTGAAAGGTCACGGTGATGGCTCTGTTCCAACATTGTGGTTTATTTTCTTAGTCTTTCGATGAGCCCAAAGTCAGGGTTTGGCTGGGACTCGGGAGAGTCGATGGAAAGCTATCGGGTGAGTATTTGGGGATGGGTTTTAAACTCCTATGCCAAACTTCAGAGCTGGCCTCTCTCCAGCTCCGTGACCGTCCCGCCGTAAAAACAAAAGCAGCAGCATCCAGGAGCTACTTAACAGCAGCTCCCCGTGCATCTGCTGCCCGGCAATACTGGAATATTATGGGCTTTTGGAGTTTCGGAGGTTTTTTTTTTTCCAATGAAACTGTAGGTGGAAGGCAAAGCAGAAGGCGCTGCGAGCAGAGCGGCAGCGGGGCGGAGAGAACCCTCCGGGCAGGGGCGGGCTCGCATCCCCCCGCCCGGGGAGATGCCCTGGAGCCGGGACACGGCATCCCACCCCCTTCCCCGCACACCCCTATCCCGGGACTCACCGGAGGAAGAAGAAATAAGCGTAGCCCTGCATGACGGTGTGCGAGTGGCAGGAGAAGTAGCCGAGGCCGGTGAGGTTGAGGCGGGAGCCGGCGGGCACCTCCAGCATGCTGCCCCACGCCTGGTCGCACAGCAGCTCGATCTCGGCCGAGTAAAAGAGGTCCCCCGCTCCCTGCTGGGGGCCGCCGGGGGGGTCCCTCTGCCAGGGCAGGTAGTTGTAGGCGCCGTAGGGGTCGGGGTGCAGCGCCAGCACTCGCGCGTAGACGATGATCGCGGCCAGCTCGGCCCGGCAGCCCTCGCTGAGCGGCCGCCACTCCGCGGGCAGCTGGCAGCCCCCCCCGGCACCCCCCCGGACCCCCGGACCCAGCCCCAACACCAGCGCCAGCAGCGGCAGCAGCCGCGGCGGGGGCGGCATCGCGGAGCCTCCGGGCCGGGCGGGCAGGGCAGGGGACGGGGGTCAGGGGGGCTGGAGCGGCCCGGAGGCGCTGCCGGACTGCCCCGGAGGCTGCGGGCGACCGGGGGTGCGGGAGAGGTGCAAGAGGTGCCGGGGGGAGAGGGAAGGGAGGCAGCGAGGCGGAGATGCGAACGGGCAGGGGAGCGAAAGGGTGGGGATGCAAAGGGGCGGGAGGGAGGAGTGGAGGGTGCAAGGGACAGATGCCCGAAGGGCCGAGGTCCGAGCAGGCAGGGGTGCAAAGGGGCGAAGATGCAGAGAGTCGAGGGACAGGGGGTGTGCAGGGGCAGAGATGCAAAGGGGAGGGATGGGAAAAGGCAGAGATGCGAAGGGGGCAGAGAGGCAAAGGGGAGGGATGTAAGTGAGAGAGGTGCAAAGGGGGAGGTGAAAAGGGAGGGATACAAAGGGGAGGGATGCAAAGGCAGAGTTGCAAAGAGGAGGAATGCAAAGGGAAGAGGTGGACGGGACGGAGAGTGCCAAGAGACGAGATATAAAAGGGCAGAGATGCGAAGGGCAGGCACACTCCGACGTGAGAGCAGCTGCTGCCAGGGATCCCCTGGCCCCGGGGTGGGCACTGGTGACACCCAGGGCTTTTGGGAGAACAGGTCTTCCTCCAATCATTTTCCAAAATACATCTGGTGAGCAAGGTAAAATTGAAAAGTCAGGTCTCAATATATTTTCACTTCCCACTGTTTCCTCCTAGAACTGTCTGAGGCAGCTTCAGCTTCTCCGGATTTCTGGCTGATGGCTCAAAGTCTGATCCTCTCCCCACACATGAACTGCTGTAGAGCTTCTCCCAGGGATCCCTGGGGGCACTGCAACACTCACAGCCCCAAAGAGCCTCTTGCTATTTCAGCTATTCTCCTTTTCCCACATTTGATCTCACTTGGAATAATAGTGTGGAATGGGCATGGGATGCTTAAAATCTTTTGGAGCTTTGGTTTTTTTTATATGAATATCACAGACTCATAGTCTCAGTTAGATCTCTCCCTAGCTGTGATGGTTACTCAAAGTTTGACAGCATGTCCTGTCTGGTTCCTTTAATCTCACTCTCTGTCTGTCTCCATCTGCCCCTCCAGTCCTCTACAAGGACTAGGAGTTCTTGGGAGCAGAAGGTGCCTCTTTGTTCCATGTTCATGCTGTGCCTGCTATGGGGGTCCTTGTGCATGACCAGGGTTCGAAATAATGTGCAAAATAATGAGTCATCAGTTAAATATTGCTGACTCAACTTCATAACAGGGAGACAAAATGTCTTTAGTGACAAGTGTCTCCCTCTGGAGTAGTTTCATCAGACTCAGCTGTGTGCTGAAGAGTTTAACAAAGTAATATTCATATTCCATGATGTCTTGATCCTACAATGTACTTCATCATAGCTTTATGCAAGAACAGCAAAGTTGGTTCTTGCTAAAACAGAAACAGATTTTGATTTTTTTTCCCTAACAAAAATCTCTGAATGACAGAGTTTTTCTAACTCTTTTTTTTCTATAATCTGCTTCTTGAAGATCAACAAATTGCTTCCAACTTTCAGGAAAAAAGTTTAATAGACAATTCTGAAAGGAATTCCCAACAGACCAACCAACTCAAATTTCCTTAATGTTAACCACTAGGAAAAACTTTTTCCTTTGGGACCTGAAGGGACTAAACTATGGTAGAGAAGGTTTCAGAGCCTCATTCAACGGTTTTTAGATATGTAAATAAGAAATATAAAGAAATACAAAGAATTGAGGTGGATGTTGACTTCAGACAAAGATGGGGCAGTTCTGGGGGCATTTTGTGCAATCCTGTATGAACCTCAGGTTTCTATTGAGTCCTTCAAGATGTTGGAAAAGACATAGGGGTCAAGTGAAGAAAAAGAGATGGGAGAGATGTTCAGCCCATCCAAGGCAGTCTTTCGATGTCTCTCCAAGGTATATGACTGGTGTCAGAGCCTGGCAGCTTCAGCAACATGAATCTTGTGTTGAGTGTGGGCAACAACATCGAGGTGTGTTACTACTTCGGTGCCACTCCTGTGGAGGTAGAGCCCCCAAAAAGCAAATGAGGTGTTTGTAACCACAGGTGGGTTGGTTCTGTCTGGGGAGCCAAATTCTTAGCTTGTCTGAAACGCAATTGCTATTTTTTCTGTGTATACATACAAGATTGGTGTCTTACGGGTAGAAAAGCCTCATATTTAACCTTCATCTCTGCTTACTGTGTGTTGCAAGTACATAATGGTCAGTTGTCCTCAAATCACTTTGGAAATATCTGATGTAAGCTGTGACCTGTTCTGCTGTTCCTCATATTTAATTTAGCCACCACATAACAGCTGGGAAGGAGGATGGAGTGAGAAAGGGAGGGACACAGGCAGCTCACAAGCAAAATAGAGATGCCTTTCCTTTATGCTACTATTAATAGTCTTATATTTTACCAGAGTGTTTGAATCAGAGGGCTAGCTCAGAAAACACAACAGCATCTGCTGGCATATGTTGGTGCTGGCTGATCCTCTCCAATTTGCTTTTTGGAGGTGATTACCACAGTGTGGAAGCAAATAATTAATGTTCTGTGGAATTTCTCTATCATTCTGCTGAGTTGTGTTGGCATTTTGAGGATACAGCAGGACTCCACAGAGCTGAGTTCAGAGTTGAATGAGCTGGATGAGCCAAAAGGAGGTCTTAGCCATAACTCTGGAGTAGACACAGTAGGTGTGCAGGTCTGCACATAAAAATAACTCTCACTTGAATATACCTGATTTCCTTGTTCTCTTCCATTTGTGCTTGCTGGTGCTGTGCCCACTGTCACTGTAAGGGCTTGGAGTGACTTATGTTCTTCTGTGCCCTCTGTGAGATGTCCTCAACTGAGACCTCTCCCTGTTAGGAGTCTCTCTGGAGATTCAGCAGTGTGTAACCTGCCCATCCCATCCCAACAAGCTGATCCCTTTGTTGTTTGAGTTCATTAGCAACTTTCAGTATTTTGGTAAAGAATTTGAACTATCTACATTCAGATCACAGTGATTAATGTGATTTAGCTTTTAAATTTCTCTCCACAGAAGAATCATCAATTTTTCTCATCTCTTCCTTTATTTCTGAGGTAGTGAAAAGTAACAGGAATCCATTCCAGGAGTCCTTTCTTTTCCAGCTCTGGATAAGGAATTAGTGACATGAAGTAAAGATTTGGAAACCCTCTCTGGAGACCACATCCTTCAGATCTGTGTTTGCTGTTTCTCTGCGGGGATCCACCGGCTGATCCGAGACGTTCTTCAGTGCAGTGTGAATACTTTTGTGCTGTGAACTCAGCGTGGGTCTGATGAGTGCTGTAGCCAAAACCAGCTAATCAGAGGAGCACCGATAGAGCCGATTACTGCTCAGGCTGCACTTTCAGCCACTCATCCATGTGCCACAGTCATTCATTCACCTCCTCCTCTTAGGTAGTCTTGTAGGCTTTATGACAGGCTCATGGTTTTCCCAGGCAGGAGCTCTTCCTTTTAGGCCACAACACCTTTATAGATATTTAAACCAAAGGTTTCTCCCTCTGGGCTATGTCATTTTCTTTGTTGTTTCTGTGGCAATGCACATGATTTAAGCCTTTTAATAAAACATATCTCTGCTCTGTCTCTCTCTTTGCCTTTAAAGTATAGACAGAGTTGAGCATTAGGCCAGGTATCAAACAGGAGAGCACTGTGCTTGACGTCTGGCTGCCCTTCTGATGGGTGTAGGTGATCTGAAACCTCAGCCCAGNGTCTTTTATTTATATATTCGCAGTTATTCCTTTGTAGTCCAGGGTACAAAATATCAAACCCAGATTTCTTTCCCCCTGCCCATCCCTCTTTAAACTGGGTGACCTACAAAGACGAATATTTGGCTGTGTTAGTGTCCCCACAGGAAGAGATGTTTTTGTTAGCTTCTCCTATCTATGCTTCTCTAATTCGAGTCATTCTTGTCATAGTTTGATATTTGGTCCATCATATTTAACTATTTTTGTACCAATGGCTGAGCTGGGTGATTCCTATTTAAAAAAAAAAATCACATTCCCTGGCCATAGTTCTTTATATCTTTTTCTTTTGAAGTAATTATGATCATGAAGAAACAGGATCTGTCTTTGGGGATCAGCTGGGAATACTGCTGTCTTAAAGAGTTTGGAAAGATTTACTTTATGTACAGCAGTAAAAAGACTTTCTGTAATACCACTTAGAATTTGAATGAAAAAGTGAGTAGAAGGATCAAAGAGTTGGTATAGATGGGGATCTTTGCCTACACTTTCATTCTATCTTTATGTCCTTTCTTTCCCCCCTCTGGCCTTTTCCCTTTTCCCTGTCCATCTTCAAAGAATCACAGAATGGTTTGGGTTGGAAGGCACCTTAAAGATCATGAAGTTCCAACCCCCTGCCATGGACAGGGACACTTTCCACTAGACTAGGGTGCTCAAAGCCCCATCCAGTCCAGCCTCGAACACTTCCAGGCAGGAGATATCCACAACTTCTCTGGGCAACCTGCCCCAGTGCCTCATCACCCTGAGAGTAGAAAATTTCTTCCTAATGTCTAATCTAAACCTACTCTCTTTCAGTTTAAAGCCAATATCCCTTCTTCATCCTGCCATCACTCTGGCCACAGGGTCCTGCTCTCCTTTTCCTTTTCCTTGATCTCTGACGAATCTCAACAATTCAAATGCAGTTTCCTTTGATTCTGGACCTCTGTCCTGTTAACTGTCCCCTACCAAAACTCCTATCTTACCCTGGCTCCCTGATATCTGGGGACATCTTACCCATCATGGCTGAAGGTGAACTGTTTTTCTCATTCCAAGTGACCCTTTATCCCTTTCATAATCATTGGCACTATCACCTCCTCTTATCCATCACTTGGACTTACAACCTGGATGTCATCCTCACCTTAGACTTTCCTCTCTGTTCTCAAAGTTGTCTAGACACTTTCTCTGTAGCTTCTCCCACATGTGCCTTTCCTATCACTTACACAACAAAAATGCTCTTGCCTCTCATGGCTTGAGTCCTGCAGCAACTTTTTCTGGACAAACCCAGCCTTGGCCCACCAGTGCCTACCCAACTTGTTACCACATCCACTGCTTTTCCAGCTCATCATGACTGATCATGTTTACCACCCATCTTTTCCCTGGACTCCCTTGGCGACAAACATCCACCTCTTGCTTCATGCCAGGCTCTTTCTGAAGAGCTCTGAGGCAAGGACCTCCTCAGCTCTGCATTTCTGCAGCATCTGGTTCATGAGCCATGGCTGCAGGTCCAAGAATAAAGAATAGCAACAACATGCAAGCTGATTCCAGCCCAAGCCAGCAGAGGCCAAAAGTTGCTGCGCTCATGAGTCTGTTCATAAATCAATGTGAACTGTGCTGTCTGAGCGCAGCTCCCAGTGGACACACATCTGCATAACACATACCACTGACACAACTGACGATGGGAAAAATATCTAAACAGATCATTCCCACAGCTGGGGAGAAATGAATAAAGATGTCTCAATTCTCCTGTCCCTGGGGTGAACTCTGGTTCAGGTAAACGCACTTCTTAAACATCAGAGATTTTAAAGGCAGAGGGGCTGTTAGAATAGTCTAATCTGACCACTCTGGCTAGATGATGCCACCCAGGGACTCCTGTGTCATGATCATAACTGAACTTAGAACAAGAGAGCGGAAGAAAGACACACAACTCTCACTTTAAAATCTCAGGTGGTGGAGAAGTTAGATCATCCCTCAATCAGTTGTTTCAATACTGAAATCTTATGCTTCATCCCAATCTGGATCTGCCTGGCTTCATCCTCCAGCCATGGGTTCATTTTGAGCTGTTGTCTGCTATGTGAAAAAAAGAACCCTTTTATTAGAAATTCTCACCCAATTTTGGCATTTATAATCCAATAATCAGATATCCCCTTGAATAAACTGAATACAGTTTCTTTCACTTGGTGGCAGGATGACCAGACTATCAGTCATTGTTGTAGCCTGATTGCCCCAGATTTTCAGCAACCTTTTCTTCTGCAGACACCAGAGTTGAACTCAGGATCATAGAGCCTGGTCTCCAAAGAGCCAGGAAATGGGCAACGCCACTACTTCTGTTTGGTTTTCTGCTCCCTTTTCCAAGAACCACATTTTTCCTACTGGCCAGCCTTATAGAAGTATGGAGCAATTTTCATTGGTCACTCCTGAAGAAAAATCGTACTAGCAAAGTACAATTTGCACTTCAATCCTAACTCCACCAAGTGAATGCAATTCTGGCCTGATTTCGGGCCAGAGCAATAATCTCTCCAGCACCCAGTTACTCACACTGGTCTCTTCAGCTGCAGGATCACAGGGGAGTGATGAAGAAAATGATGCCACGTGTTTAAGTCCTGATCCAACAGTGATATCATAGGACTTTGACTTCTTGTCTGGACAAAAGGATGGAGATGTGAAATGTTTTAGTTTTGCTTTAATATCTCAAGTTTTCTGGATTTATATCCTATCTCTCCTGTGTTTTCAAAGAGTTGAACTTTTGAGTCACATTTGGCATGTTTGACACAGAAGACATGTTTGACACGGTCTTCTGAAACTAATTTAGTGTTGCTGAATGGCAACAGATTGCCTGGGCTGCCTCTCCTCTGTGCCCCCAACAGAAGAGAGGCAGGACAACCCTGAGCTGTGGAAGGGGTTGACTTTCAAAAGGGCCAAGATGCTCCCAAACAAAACCCACTCTGCTGGTGCAGAGATGATGTGCAGGTACATCCAGCAGAGGCAGGTCACCAGAGTCAACATAGACCTGTGTGGCCTTTCAGTCTGCAGAAACCACCTTACCTTTCCTTCATCACTGATCAGCATCTGATCTCAGAGGATCCTGTGTGGATTCCACAAGGTAATGAGAATCATGACTGTCATGCTATTACTGACCCAACAGCAATGGGCACATGTGTCCAGGAGGCTGCTCAGCCCTGATTCGGGATGATCCCATGCAGATGAACCTTTCTTCTTGCAGTTTGCCTGGATAGAACAAAAAGGGGAAAAGGGCATCTTATAACGAGAGACCTTGGCACCATGTATAGTTAATGTAATTGAACTCACACTCTGCTCAGTTTTCACAACTGGGTTCTTACTCTGATGAGTTAATTCCCTTTGACATCCCTTCTGTCCCTCCCCTGCTTTCATTGAGACTAAAATAACCCAACTGTCCATCTTGCTTATGGAATTACTGAACTTTTAAGAGAACACAAAGTGCTCTCACACAAGGATTTGGGATTAAACCTCTCTTGTTTATGTTAAACATAACATCTTAATTCTTCCACTGCTGGAGGGCAAATGAGTCTCCACAATCCCAAAGAACCCTGCTTTCAAGCCCTATAGCAAAGGTCAGTGTGATTTGTTTCTCATTACAGATGTTTTTCCCGTGAAGTTGTCTTATGGTATATGACAGTTCTCTTACAAAACACCTTTATGTAATTTAAAGCATTTTTACTTAAAATATTTTTCATTATAAACCAAGAGATGCTTAATTTTCAGCATCATTCTCTTCTCTCGAACTGCATTAATCAATGAAGTACCTGATTTTGTTTTCCAGGGATGTGGTAAGGAAAACAACTGTGTGCCATCCATGTCTCATGCAACACCCAAGGAGCTCTGGATTTGGAAGGGGGAATCCCACTGAAGCTGGCATTTCCTTGAACTGTGTTTGACTTCAATCTCCTGGCTCTGGGGGTATGTATGCCTTGTGTACAGATGTGTATGCACACCTGGAGGGGGAGACTTGTGGGAAAGAGGGGCAAGGTAGCACAGATTACTGAGTGGTAGATTACTGTAGAGTCCTACAGGGGTTAGAAATGCCCCTGCACCCCATGAAGTTCCACAGATAAAGGGATAGGAAATAACATGAGGATGAGGCAGACGCAGGGATGGAGAGCCCAAGAGAAAGTCAGAAACTGCGAAAAAGGCAGAGGAAGTGGAAGGAAGAGACTCAGTACAGGAAGGAAAGGGCAGTGAGGGAAGCAGCTTGTCAAGGAAAATTTTAGGCAAAGAAGGAGCAAATGAAGGAATTAACTAATTGAACAGTATATGGTACAACTTGAGAAACTGGGACAAGAAAAGAAAAAAGGAACAATGAGAATCCTAGGCCTTTTTTTTTTTTTTGCCTTGGTCACTGATTGTAAGTGTCCAGTACAAACACCACCAGAGACTCCTGCACATCCCCACAGGAGCTCTCAGCCCTTCCATAACACCAGCTTTTGCCCAGCAGTCTCATGCTGGCCAGCTTGCATTGCCTCTTGTCCTGCAGAAAGCTGGACCTATCCTGAGTGCCATGCCCTCCCTCTCAGCTGCCCCCTGTGCTCCTGACCTTCCTGAAGCCACAGAGCAGCTCTGCTTGCCCCACCACAGCCCCACCATCAGCCCCTGCCTTTTGTCTCATGGGCATCCCCACACCTACTTCTGTTTCTGGGCCATTTCAAATGAAGTACCAAGAGAAGGAGAAAAGTGGATTTTCTTGCCTGGGGTGGCCTTATAAGCTGTGTCCCTGACAGTGGAGGGTCATAACCTTCCCAGCAATATCCAGCAACACTCACATGAGATGTGTCCACTCCCCACAAACTACCTATTCCCCAACCACCAGGCAGCAAGATTCTCTCTTAAGCAGCTACTGAGAGGGCATCAAACACTCTAGACCAACCCTACAAAATGGGTCAAGGCCCTCCTCCATTAGCATAGGGGTTCTGTATTTTTCTGCCTTAAGTAGGTCTTGTTCTTCTCTGGTATGCTCTAGAACAGAGTATTGCAGGTCTTTGACACGGCCACTCTATCCACAGAGCAGCTGATGTGAAAGCACATCCCCCCTGCTGTTGTGCAGGAGGTTTATTTGGATTTTAGAAATTACCCTTACCAAAGAATAAAAAAACTACTCTTAACCCAGTGAGTTAACCCAAGCACGTGGCCAAGGCAGTGAAATGGGCTCTGATCCAGCTCCCACACCAGAGGTTGCTCCTTCTTCTCATGGCAATCAGCTGGCTTGTTGCTGAGCACAACTGTCCTCCTGACTCAGGGGAATTGCTCCCTCAGGAGCTGGGTCAGCAATGCCACCAACATTCATGAAGGATTCACTTGAAGGCCAGCGATGAGGGCAGTGCTGCTGGTGGGTAACTGTTGGTCATTTAGTCCTGCTCCTGACTTCCTTGGCAATGAGATTATCACACACAGCATCAGCACCGCCAAGGAGGGAACAGACCCACCTCTGAACCTGTCTCTGCCAAGTGAAACTCATCCATGCCGTTGCTGATGACCCAGTGGCAGAGCCCGACTGCTTCACTGCTGTGCATAGATAGGTGCATTTGCACACACACAGCAGCACACAAGGTCAGATGTCAAGCCAGGACAGCTGTCCCTTGGCTACCATTTGAGGTGTTGGTGACACATGTACAAAGCAGGGGGTGTTGGAGCCAATGAAGGCTACAAGGTCCAGCAGCAGCCAAAGCAAATGATTTGCTGTATTATATCACATGTCAGCAAAGCTGCCTGGCTCCTCTTTGGATTGCATTAGGTGTTCAGGCTGAAGTATCACATTTTACATGTTTGTCTTGGGTAAGATTTTTGTACAAAAAGTTTCAATGGTCTCTTCACCAGGGCAGTCTAAAGAGTAATTTATTTTTTTTAGTTGTGTAGAAGACTCTGTTTCTATGAGTAGAGGCAAGACTTTCATATTGGACTGAAACATAAGGATGGAGACAGAGATTGACTGGAAGAATAAGATTTGGGGACAAAAATGCCAGGCCTGGTAGGTCACACAGGTACCAGCTTCTTACTACATAAAGGGATTGTGACTTTACATCCAGTAAAGTGTGTGTGGCACTCAGATAATGTGGAGACAAGCATCACAGGAAAGCCTATACCGGTGTTAATAGCTCTGTCTCTCAAGTTTTACCTCTCAAATACCTACAGATTCAAGGAGAGGGGATTTCATGGCATTTGCACACTGAGCAGTGGAGATAAAATATAACTGCTCTCTAGGAGGGCACATTCCAAACTGCTGCTCATGGCTCACCGCCCTGAAGGAAGGTTTAGGAGACAGCAGGCATTCTCCTGCTCCTGAAGATTTACCATTGCTCATTTGCATCCATGTTCATGTAGCACTGAGACACCAGGAGACACCTTCTCTGCTCATCTCATCTCCAGTGCAATAGTTAGAGAAGATCTGCTTTCTGCAGATACCCTGCTAAAAACCCTGCTGTGCAGAGGCTTGCTGGAGCTGGGCACAGGCACAGCCTGAAGCTCTGAAACACTTAGGAGTGGCATTCACAATGCAGACAGCCCAAAGAAGTTGTCCACTTTTCTTGGAGGGTCAATCCATTGCAGGAGTTTCTGGGAATAAGAGCACTAAGTCACTTGCCTGCAGCCTTCCCATGGCAGCCCTCCATCCCCTCACCACAAGTTCACTGCTGAGGTTCATCACCAAGCCTCATCTGCTGCACAGGTGATAACAACCACGGAGGGAAGGAAAATGCCTCTTTCACAGAGGTGCATGTTAATCTCTAGTTCAGATTAAATATATCCTGGCTGCTGGAAACAGCTGTGAAAGGTCCTTTTCTTTGTCGTTCCCAAGTGTGATGCATTCCTCCTCTTCACCATCCCCTCATGAAGGGGGAGAGAAAAGCATCGGATAAAAGCCTTGCTCCAGGGCAAGAAAAGATCCAAACTGCAACTTTGCATAAATCTGTCACTTTGATTCCCCTGAGAACAACTGCAAACGGTGAAAAATGGCATAGCAAAGCAAGCCCAGGTGTTAACTCCTCTTTTTTTAATTGGGGGGTGGGGGAAGGGGAGGAAGGAGAAAATGTTGTTGCAAACAGCCCCAAAACGTGATTCCTCTCACTCAGCTTTATGCTTCGTTAGCTCTTTCAGGACTATCTCTGTGCCCATGAAGTCTTATTTCTGAACCAGAAAGGAAATGGGGAGATTTTCCCGTATCAATATCTGCTGCAAAATCCACATTAAGCACCCTTTGCTGTTTCTGCTGTTTTATTCTCTCCCTAGATCAATTTGCGAGGAGGGAGTTTCCCTCTGTCTCACTTTTAAATGCTAATGCATCAAAGATTTGCTGGGTTGGGCTCAGGCGTGGGAGGGCCTCTGAGGACGCTCAGTGATGCCTTTCACCCCAGGGTCAGCTTTGTATTCTGCATTAAATTTGACTCTTATACTTGAAACAAAGAAACACTGTTGTTGCTAACACTTTTTCTCTCCTCAATCCCGGCACTTTCATCCCCAAATGCCTTGGCAACAAGTGGCCAAATTTTGTTCAGGCAAGTGGAGGCAGCGGTGGGGCCCGAGTTCATCTTTGCTGGCAATGACCTGGATGCCCCCCAGGAGGACTGACAGCACCGAGGAATCCTGGAGGCTGCCCCAAGGTGGCACCTGTGTTTGGGGCATGTGGCAGGGTCCCCCAGACCAGCAGGGATGGCACAGACACCTCTTGCCTTGCCTGGGGCTCCTCTGGCCCCCACCCACCCCATGCAGCCCCCGTCTGGCCGCAGCCCAGCTCCACATCCCTACCTTTGTCCCTTAATCTCTCCTGCTCTCATTAAGCAGGAGGGGCTTTCGTTAAGGTTCCATTGTGCAGAAGGAAATTGCTTTTGCCACTGCAGTCCCAAGGGCTGTACATTTCTCAGGCAATTAGACCTTTATCAGCTGCAGAGATAAGGATTGCTGAATATGTGTTGGCTGACACAGACTGACACAGACATATAGCTTAATTAATGTAAGCGAAATGCTTTGAAGTCCTTTTTGTTCCTCTTTTGAGGCTGATTCTTTTGTTTGTTTGTTTGTTTGTTTGTTTGTTTGTTTGTTTGTTTGTTTGTTTGAAGTCCTTGTCCTGTTAGTTGCTAAAACCATATTTGGAGTCAATGAAGTGAAATTCCTCAGGACAGTGTTGGGTACCACTAGTCAGCATGTTTAAGCCTGGCAAGCTGCTCTTTCCAGGCATGATGGACCTGGTGATCACTTCTGTGAGAGTTTTCGGAGCACAGCCTTATAGGACTGGAGACCCCACCAGGCTGCTCAGCAACCTTCTCACACTGAACCACCCCAGAACTCACAGTGCTGAGCCAGGAGAACCTGCTCTCTCACTGACATTGGAGAAAGCTGCCCACACCAGGACATTTCTAATCCTACTCAGCTATAATTCAAGCGTACATGGAAAATGGTTTACCCACCAAGGGAGTTTTGTATTACAGTGTTGCGCTGCTTGTTTTGCAAGCCAAATTAATAGTAAGGCTTGGCCAAGTTCTGCATAGGTTGAAACCTGACTTTTGGCTCAGTTTTGGTCTGACAAGATTTTGGTGTCTCCATCATCAGCTTTGCTTTTGGGATCAGCAGCAGCTTTTTGCTGTTGTTCCCATTCCAGACACGGGTGGCTTGCATTCAGACTGAGGATACCTGTGGGTCTTGTGAGTCATGCTGAGAGCATTACATGGGGTTGGGCTTAAACAGATGAAAAGTGAGAATTTGTGAGACTTTGGCAGTCTATGCAATGAATTTGTAATGGCAGAGGTAGGATGAATTCCACCTCTGCTGTATATGGCTCTTCCAGGGGACATGCAGAAGTTCAGGCTAATGTACAGCTCTGCCTGTTGTGTGGTGACTGATGGATTACACTCAATCACCCCAGAGTTGTGCTTGGAGTTTCTCATTTCAATAATCTACTAACTCTCACAGAAATCAACAGGAGGCTGAAACTGATGTTTTTAATGTGAGCTGGGTTGGCTATTAAAATCCAACATTGTTTGAGATCATCTCTCTTACATCCCTCTGAGATCAAAGAAATTTACTATGGACAAGTGCAATCACACATAGATATGATATGATTAATTCTCCACGGTTCAGATCAGAGTTCAGATCTCTCTTGAGGAAAAGATCTTTTTATATGCAATATTCAGAAGTAGTAGAAGATAATTTCCCAAGAGGAATCCTTGGTTCCTAAAATCACTTTCCTCTTGGTTCACCTTTCCTTAAAGCCATTTGAGAAAGTGATTTGTCCTACATAGACTGGAAACTGCAGAATGTTTTCTGAAATGAAATAGAAATGCACTGAAACACAGTAATACCAAGCTGGCCCAGCAGGTATGGACTTGGAGTTGGGATACCAGAGTGTAATTCTCTTTCCTCACACTGTGATACTTCGGGCAAGTCACCAAATAAATACCTAAAAATATGAGTCTTAGTCCCACTGTACCCCAGATTTCCATTTGTAACTAGAGAAAATGCCATTTTCTTTGATCACAGTGCTGTGGTGAAGCAGAGATTTGTTGGAGTGTCGTGATGCTACAGTAATGGGGACTACCATCAATAAAGCTCATGTTATAGGAAAGTCTACTAGCAAAGAATTTATAACTAGCAAATTGAGGAAAAGAAATACAGTAGTGAAATGTTCAGAACTGCTAACTGTGTGTTTAAAGGTTTGGGAAAATGCCTAGAGCTGTAAGTAGATGCCAGAGAAATTAATTATGATAATAAAACTTCTGGGAAGAGGTGGAAATGCTGGAATGGTCAAATCATGGGTAATTATGAAGAATATTTTCTGTCCTCTTGGTAACACAGAGCTGCAAGGAATGTGTGTGTTGCCTCCAGAAATGTGAGGGGCCAGGATGTCATTCTTCCAGAAACAAAACAGACAAGAACTGAAAGGAAAAAAAAAAAAAGGAGGGGGGGAAGAAAAAGAAAAGAAAAGCCAAACCAAACAAATGCCTCACAGGTCACGATGCAGCAGCCAGAACTTTGAAAGGCAGCCAGGGGAAATTCCCTGAGAAGCTTCCCTCTGCTCACGTAGGAATTCCTCGCCCCTAACCTTTGCTTGGGATCAGCTGAATCATGTTATATGGTCTTATTTTTCATCCCAGCTGTACACCTCCAGGCTGCACACATCCGAGTGGATTATCAGGGACGAACAAGCCTCTACTCTTCCTTTCTTTCCTCTGGCCCTCATGTTTATGGTCGGAGGTTTTTATCCAACCTAGTGGCCTCTGCTGGAGCCACATTGGTCTCAAAGGCTGATGGGCAGCACCTACAAGACCAGAAATGCTTGCTGCAGCTGACAGCCATGCAATTGCTCCTTCGCTGACACATTTAAAGACAATATTTGCTGCTCACTGCAAAAAACTATTCGTAAAAACTCTGCCCTGATGGCAAGTTGGCAGCACAATTACCTAAACTCTGTACAGACACTCCAGGTCACTGGTGACTGTTTAGGCTGTGCTGTTTCAAGATGAATTAATTGCCTCCTGGGTTTCCCCTGGCTCTGCAAGGCTTTACTGGATTCACACATACTGCCAACTGCTGCACAGAAAGCCACAGGGGAAAGATAGAGCTGGGAGAGGAGATACAGACGGGTCTAGCAAAGCTTTCATTTAATTTGCTTGTGAATATCACAATCTCTTCATGCTACAACTCTTCTTGTGTTGCAGGCCATTGAAAAGAAATAATTAAAATGCACATTGCAAGCCATGAAAATTAAAGGCTTTGATCTTGTTCTGCTGTTCAGGAGAAAGGCTGCAAACTCCACCCTGCTGAAATGCAGCACTAGCTGAGCTTCTAGGAAACTCACAGGCTTTATCCAAACTACAAAACTCTCAAAACTGGAGCTTGTGTCTTCCCTTTCAAGAAAACTTTGATACACAGTAATGGGATTTCCCCACACACCAGTACATAATGTTTTATTGATTCTTATCCCTTACAGAAGTGGCACACCATTCTTACTCCTTACAGAAATGGCATGCAGTTCTTCTTGGGATAACTGCTTTGGTGCATCACACTGCTCACCTTCAACACAGCACCTAAAAGCCCTGAGCTGGCGGGTGTTCGGCATCATCCTGGAGCGCTGTCCTTGCAGATGCTCCCATCCCTCAACAACATTTAAAAACCTTTAAATCGGGCTGTCTGCCTCCTCACACTGCTTAGGATTCAGAGCACTTCTCCTGGACTCATTGCAGAAGGAACCCTGGAGATCCCATGAAAGGAAGGAAAACTTTACAGAGTATTTTGTGTCTGTTGGCTCTGCAGTGATGCTATCATGTATCTCCTGGATTGCTGACATCTTGGCATTAATCCTCATGGGATTCCTTTG